CTCAGCTCTGGTACTTAAAGCTTATTACTAAATCCTGTAAGTCTCTGTTTCATTTATTTGGGAACTAGAGTGGGTGATTAGAAAAGTCCCACCAAAATGTAACATATTGGGAGTTGGAGAGATGGATGGCTCAGAGGTTAAGAGCACTGGCAGCTCTTCCTGAGGTCATGAGTTCAATTCCCAGCAACTACATGGTGACTCAAATCATCTATAATGAGATCCGGTGCCCTCTTCTGGCATGCAGGTTTATATGCAGACAACATTGTATACATAATAAATAAATAAATCTTTTTAAAAAATATATCTTTATAAAATCCTGTCTCTAAAAAACAAAAAATCAAAATCCACGAGGGAGATGGCTCTGAGTCAGCAGCGCCCTTACCACTAAAGCATGAATACCTGCATCCTGAGTTTGGATGCCCGGCACCACACAAAAGCCAGGTGTGGTGTCAGCAACCTTAGTCTTGGTGATGGGGTTGCAGAGACAAGAGGTTTCTGGAACTAGCTGACCAGCCAATGCTGGACTTAAAGGTATTTTCTATGCCTGCTCTAGCTCCCACATAATGAGACATTTATCAATAAGCTTTACGCACCATAACTGGGCAGATACCTACCTATTCTAACTCGTCTCTGCTAGCCTGGCCTGCTTCCCAGCCATGTGCCCTGTTACCTGTCCTCCCGTCTCTCCCTGGCCACCTCTGCTCCATCCTTGTCCCTATTGACTTCTCCATGGTGACCTCCTCCTCAGAGCATGGCAACCTTCTTCTTCTCTGCCTTTTCTCTCTCTACCTGAGACTCCCCCAGACTGGGGACAGAAGTCCTGCCTACTGTCCCCTCTGCCCAGTCTTTGGCTCCTTAGCTTCTTTATTAACCAATTACAGATAACTGGGGACTAATTTTTACATAACATTGAGACAGGAGATTTCTCAATAGCAATGACAATACCGGAATCTGTTAGCATGTAGCTCTCTGCTGCTTCAGCAATCAACGATGGAATATACAGAGCCATGCCTTAACACAGTGTGAGTGAAGGTCCCCTCTCTAAGCCTGGATTCTCCATGTATCCTGGAGCTCCGTGTTCAGTGAGGCAGCTTGTTTTAAAAACTAAGGTGGAGGGGCTGGAGACGGCTCAGCCCTTGAGAACCCTTCCTCCAAGCTGGGTAGTGGTGGCACACACCTGTAATTCCAGCTGTCAGAAGGACGAGGCAGGCAGATCTCTGAGTCCGAGGCCAGCCTGGGTCTATACAGAGTGAGTTCCAGGACAGCTACACGGAGAAACCCTATCTAGAAAACCAAAACCAAAATAAACCAAACAACCAATCCCCCCCTTTTCCTCTTTCAGAGGACCTGAGTTAAGTTCCTAGCAGCCCCATGGCAGCTTACAACTGCCTGGAACTCCTGTTCCAGAGAACCCAACACCCTCTTCTGGTCTCCAAGGACACTCAAATAAAAGTGGCATATACACACAGATATATACACTTTAAAGAAAATAAAGCCAAGTATAGTGGCACACTCCTTAAATCCCAGTGCTCTAGGAAGCAGAGGCAGGTGGATCTCTGTGAGTTCGAGGCCAGCCTGGTCTACAAAGTGAATCCAGGACAGCCTGGACTGCACAGAGAAACCCTGTCTCGAAAAACCACAAATAAATAAATAGACAAACAAACAAACTTGGGCTGGACAGATGCTAAGAGCACTAACTGTGAGCTGGCATGGTGGCACAGGCCTGTAATCCTAGCACTCAGGGATGCAGAGGCAGGCAGATTTCTGTGAGTTTGAGGCCAACCTGGTCTACAAAGTGAGCCCAGGACAGCCAAGGCTACACTGAGAAACCCATCTCAAAAACAAACAAAACCAAACAAACAAACACTAACTGCTCTTTCGGAGGCCCCCGGGTCAGTTCCCAGCACCCACATATTAGTGGCTTACACCTATCACTATCTCCAGTGATCTTACTTCCCTTCTGACCCCCATGGGCTGTTGCAGGGAATCTTAATCCTTCTCTTGAATTCCAAATGCTCACCATACACGTGCATGCTCTCAGGCACACATGCTCTAGTTACAGTGAAAATTTAAGCAACAAACAAAACCCGGCTAAGGTGGAGGGATGCTCCGCTCTCGGTAGTCCCCCTCACCTCCTCTCGGGAAATCTGCATTCGGTCTGCATAAAATAAGGTAAAAAGTCATAAGCAACTGACAGTAACCTCTGGCCTCCACATGCAGACATGTGCGTACACACACGCATAAAACATACAGAAGTCAAGTGTGGTGGCTAATGCCTATAATACTGGCAGTAGGCAGACAGAGATGCAAGGATCCATTGCAGGTTCAAGGCCAGCCTGGTCTACAGGGTGCATTCCAGGCCCATCAGAGTTGCATATCAAGAAAAAAACAACAAAAGCAACACGGGAGTATAGTGATGAATTAGAAAGCAGAAGCAGAACAGTTAGGAGTTCTGGGTCACTGTAATGCACATAGTGAGTCTGAGGCCAGCTGTGCTTCGTGAGACCCTGCCTAATCAACAACAAACACCAGCCAGCCTACCCCATTAAAAGGGAATATGAGGTTTAACTGAAATTTACTAACGTCTAGCCGAGTATAGTACGCAAATGTTGGCTTTCTCACCTCTCACTTCATTCTCATGAATTCTTATATATATTTATATCAGTTATATATGTGAATTTCTTCAGATGCATCAAGAAATATGTATATGATTTGTTTTTTTCATCCTTTAATTTTTTGTGTGTGGTTGTTTTGTCTCCGTGCGTATCTGTGTGTGCTGTGCCTGATGAGGTCAGAAGAGGGTGTGGCCTCTTCAGTTCCTCTGGAACTGGAATTACAGGTGGTTGTGAGCCACCACATGGGTTCCTAGACTCAAATTTGGGTCCTCTGCAAGAGCAGCAAGTGTTCTTGACTGCTTCGGTACCCCTCTGGCCCTTTGTTTTGTTTTGTTTTGAGACAGGGTCTCACTGGGTAGCCCTTGCTGGCCTGGAACTCACAGAGATCTGCCTGTGTCTACTTCCTGAGTGCTGGGATTAAAGATGTGGAACATCACACCCAGCCTTATTATTTATAAGTTTGTGTCTGTTTATACGTGCACATGCTTGTGGGTGGTCATGGAGGCAGGAAGAGGGGGTTGGGTCCTCTGGAGCTGGAGTTACAGGCCAAACCTGGGTCCCCTGGAAGAGCCGCAAGTGCTTTCAATCACCGTGCCATCATCTCCTCAGTGTGTGGCGGATGTCTTTCTCTACCACCTTGCTTCTGAGACAGGTCTCTGCATCTGGAGCTAGTCGCTTTTGCCAGATTGGCCAGCAAGTGCGACGCTCCTCTCTCTTCTTCCTGTGCTGATCTGACCAGTGTGTTCTGCTTTGCCTGGTGTTTTTAGATAAGAACTATGGATTAAACTCAGGCATTCCCACGAAAGGCAGACATCTTATAGGCTGAGTGCTTTGTCCCCATTTCCATGGACCTTTAGTTATTTAAGAAAAAAAAAATTAGCAGGGAGATGGCAGGTGGATCTCCATGAGTTTGAGGCCAGGCTGGTCTACAGAGTGAGAAAAAACCAGAAAAACCCAGCCTCAGAAAAAAAGAAAGAGAAATTTGAGATAGGTTCTCACTATTACTGTGTAGCCTTGGCTGGCCTGGAACTTCCTAAGTACCTCAGGCTGATCTTGAACCCACAGAGACCTGCTTTCCTCTACCTCACTAGTGCTGGGTGTAAAGGTGTGAGCCCCCACATCCAGGTGTGGCGCTTTTTTTTTTTTTTGGTTGACGGTTGACATGGGAGGGCCCAGCTCACTGTGCGCACCTGGGTGCCGTAAGAGGCTACGAAAGTCATGGGGTAAACATGTTCCTCAGTGGCCTCTGCACTAGTTCCTGCTCTGACTTCCTTCTATGACAGACTATGATATGAAAGTGTAAGCAAAATAGAACTTTCCTTCCCAAGAATGGTGTTTTAAAGCGATAGAAACTCTGAGACTGGCCAGTGAGACCCTGCATCAAAGGAAGTGAACCAGACCAGGTTCCTGAGGATGACGCATGCACATTCATTAAAAATGTTTTTAAAGATTTTTTTTTTTTATATGTGTGTGTTTATGCCACATGTGTTTTGGTTCCCAAGGAGGTCAGAAGGTATTAGACCGCCTGGAGCTGACAAGTGGTTACGAGACAGGTTCTAGTCACTGAGCCATCTCTCTGGCCCCCAGTTGTTTTTAAATTGCTGAATCCCAAGGCCTCTTACTGGATTCTTATGTAATTAATTCCTTTATAAGAGTTGTGAGTCTGTGTGTGCCCAAGTGTATGTTTGTGGACCAGGTGTATGCAGGTGACTCCAGAGGCCAGAAGAGAACATTGGAATCCCTGGCTGGCCTGGAGCTCACTCTGTAGACCAGGCTGGCCTGGAGCTCAGAGATCCACCTGTCTCTTCGTCCAGGGTGCTGGGATTAAAGGCATAGTGTTTGCCTTGCTGGAGAATGTCCTCATTCCCAGGCCCTTTAACAGCTATTACACTCAGTTCTCGGTCCTCTAGTGTTTCAGCTCGATGCTGACACCTGCTGGCCATAGATGGCTCAGCAACCTTAACCTCGGCACCTGCCTCCTGCCGGTACTGAAGGCCAGGAGGGACCGTCGGTGGCATTCTTATCTGCCAGGGCCCGAAGATGCTTGTGATAATGCTGTTCTACTACACCACTCGATGATCTTCAGTACTTCCCTGGCTGTCTCCCACGTTAAAATATCTGGACTCTCCATGGTTCTAAGTACCACAGAATATTAGGCAGCAAGAAAGAAGCAGACAGCTTGGGCGGAGGGTGTGTGATTCCCTCCTTCCCACCTCAGAGTTGGAGCTTCCTACAGATTTCCCTGCCTTTTGACCTTTGTCTTATTTCTAGGCTGCTCTTGGGACTCAGGCCTTCTTGGTGACAGTGGTGATGAACCGGAGGTGGAGAGTACGTAGGCGGGACTTGGGGTGGGGCTAGACCAAAGGGCCTCTTACTTAGGCGCTTCTCCATTCTGTTAGCTCTCAGGCACATCTAAGGCAAGACTGGCACCCAGCGCACAGCAGGTGAGAGACTGGCAAGGACAGAGGGGCGGGTTTCTAAATGACAGTGACAGCACATCCCGACCCCTTTACCCTTACCTTTCCATTGTGTGAAACTCTCACTTGGAGAAATCCTGGGTTCCACTACCACCACGCCCATCCCATGACAGAATGCTTTTAGTGGATGGAGCAAGAGAGAAAGAGAAAGAGAGCTGGCTTGGGCCGAGGGCTGAGGGATGGAGGTGCATAGCGGGGTATGACAGAGGTTTAGACAAGTAAAATCTCTTCAGACATGGAAGTACAGTGACTCAAAGTAAAAGCGTAGCCAGGCTAGAGATTCATGGGGTTGAAGTAGAGGCTAGAAAAAGAGCAAGTGACAGAGAGACCTTGAGAGGACTGGGGACCTAAATGGAAATGCAAGAGGGGCAACGGAAAGCAGGTAACAGGAAGGCAAGGCGGGAAGGGAAGGCAAGCTCCTATGGAGCAATCACCTCCACCATGGAGGACAGTGAGACAAAGCTCAGGGCAAGCCAGTAGCAAATCAAGATGGCAGGTTCCCACTGGAATGATTCAGCTCGGGGAGAGGCCCCTGGCTATCCTCCCTGTGTCTCTTCAGGCTCCTAGTTTCATTTGGGGGAGAGGGTGAGGTTGCTCCCCATTGCGGTCACAGCCACATCCTGCAGAGCAGGGGAGGGGGAAGTAAGAAGCAAAACAACAGAAGCAGTCAAGGACCATGGTGAGAGGACCCTGGACTTCGGCACAGGATATACCGCAGGGGGCGGGGGATGGGAGGGGGACTTGGTTCCGTCTCACCAGCCTCAGACCCCACTGCTGCCGCCCCAGCCTTCTTTGGTGGGCTGTGACCTCCCTGACAGCACTACTTGCTGGGTAGGGACTCTGGGAGGATTATTGGACTTGTAGTCTGATTTTTTTTCACAGCTTCTTTTTGTTATTTTAAATTATGTGTATGTGTGAGTGTGCCTGTGGAGGCCAGAGGTGTTGGATCTCCCTGGAGCTAGTTAGAGGGGATGCTGAGTCGTCTGTGAGTGTGTGAACTGCGCCACCTCTCCAGTCCTTTAAGCTTGTTTTCATCATTTACTAGGCCAAGTTGCTTACGGTCTCTTAGCCTTTCTTACAGGCGGTGACACACCGTCTTTAATCCCAGGACTCTGGAAGCAGAGGCATGCAGATCTCTGACTTCAAAGGCCAGCCTGGGCTACAGAGCAAAGGCTACTCAGAGAAACCCTTGTCTTGAAAGAAAAGAAAAGGAAAAAAAAAAAAGGTTATCAAAAAAAAAAAAAAAAAAAGCCAAGTGTTCTTATTAGGTTTCTGGAGGCCGCTGTATCTCCCACTTCTTGTAAGGTTATATGGTCCCTCCACTCACACGGGCTCTTGATCTTGAGCCTGGAGACAGAGGGCAGCTGTGCCAGTTCCCTGCCAAATGGGCATTATGCTCTCCATCATGGCAGTAGCCTCCTGCCCTAAGACTCCAATGATGCCCACACTTGTCCAGCTAGGGCTCTCCCTGCTCCTTGGGATGTTTTGGAGACACAGATGTCTCAGTTTATAGCACTAACATGAAAAAGCAGAAGCAAGACTTACAGGATGGAGGGGGCCAAAGGGAGAGGCAATACAAAGCAGTCAGAGCAGAGAAAATGGGGAAAAGCCATTTCTCTCTTTTTCTCTAAGGAAGCCTGTGGCCTCTTCTGGTGACTGACCACATACCCACCCCATGTACCATGGAGTCCTTCAGCTCCAAGAGTCTGGCATTACAAGCCGAGAAAAAGCTACTGAGTAAAATGGCTGGGCGGTCTGTGGCTCATCTCTTTATCGACGAGACCAGCAGCGAGGTCCTAGATGAGCTTTACCGTGTGTCCAAAGAATACACACACAGCCGGCCCAAGGCACAACGGGTGATCAAAGACCTGATCAAGGTGGCTGTGAAGGTGGCCGTGCTGCACCGTAGTGGCTGCTTCGGTCCTGGGGAGCTGGCTCTGGCTACACAATTTCGCCAGAAGCTCCGGCAGGGCGCGATGACCGCGCTTAGCTTTGGCGAGGTGGACTTCACCTTTGAGGCTGCAGTGCTAGCAGGCCTGCTGGTCGAGTGCCGGGACATTCTGCTGGAGCTGGTGGAGCACCACCTCACACCCAAGTCACATGACCGCATCAGACACGTGTTTGATCACTACTCTGACCCTGACCTGCTCGCTGCCCTCTACGGGCCTGACTACACTCAGCACCTTGGCAAGATCTGTGACGGGCTCCGGAAGCTGCTCGATGAGGGGAAGCTCTGAGGCCCCAGAGCCCAGCACACTGGACTTTGGCAAAATGACTGACCAGGAAAATGACAGCTCAGGCTTTCTAACCCTGCACAAATGCTTTTCAATCCCCTGGCTTCATTCTCTCCCAAGAGTGTTGACGACGCGGATACAGCCCCCACTCCCAAACCGCTGGTGGAGAAGAGCAGCTCTGAGCCGAGTGAGGCGGCTTTCCTGTCCAGTTGCCAGCAAAGGGAACAGCTGACCGCAGAAGTGAAACTCGGGTCTGCTTCTCCCAGGAGGGCTGCCTGGGACAGGGCCTCCTCCTCCTCAAACCCAAGGAAGGGGGCACTAAGGGCCAGAAGGAGGAAGGTGGCCATCAGAGACCTCCCTCCGGATCTCCCGGAGCTTGGGCACACAGCAGAGGCTGTGTAGAAGGTGCTGGGGGAGGGGAAGCACAGGGGAATAAAACCACTAAAACATGCACAGGGCTCACTGTTTAATCTCTCTAGCTCCACACGCAGGCCGGACACAGAGGAGAGGTCTAGACACAACACATCTCCCCTTTCCCCATTCCTGAGCAGGAGGCAGGCAGACTCCCAGCACTACTGAGCTGCTATGCCTACTTCTTCAGCTTAAAGAACAAAAGACAAACTGTACTGAGATCAGGGCTACAGATTACAGATACATACCAAGTGACCTAGGCAGGCTGGGGATGTGTGACTAAGACACTTTTGCCACTGTCCTCCTCTGACCCCCAAGGCACCTTCTTCTAGCCCCTAGCCCCACCATGGTGGAGCAGAGGAATGGGAAGAAGGGTGGGGTGGTGGCAGAGAGCACTCAGTCAGTACCCTACTCCACTGCTGTTTCTCAGAGCCAAGAGCTGGAGATTTGTAGGTATTGCTCAGCCAAGCCCCAATAATTGACCTTGAGAGTGGGGAAAGCCTCGGCGCGACCTGCCATTCTCTGTGGTGTGTTTCGCTCACCTCCTGGCCTCGGGAACATGCTTGGCTAGGGAGGTTAAGTAGCAGCCACCCCCACTCACTATTCTGGGTTTCCCCCTCTCTTCAGTGATATGGAAACCCCATTTCTTCAGTTAAGAGGAGGAAGGGGTTAGATATAGCAAATAAATATTACTTCAGTATAGCACCAAATAAATTAGGTAACATCACTGAGGTGGGGCGGGGTCTCTGCTTCCCTGCTCTAAGGCCAGGGAATGGTGGAAGGGACAGCAAGGGCATAGAAGAGCCTTTGAATCTAAAGGACAACTCTAGATTTGGCCCATTTCCTACTCTTGCTGAAAAGTGTCCCCAGCTGGGGAAATCTTGACACAGAGGCTGGCCAAGATGGCTGGAGAGGAGTGAGGCAGGCTGGGACGCTCTGCTCTTGAGCCTCACCTCAGACTCCTCTCCCCCTCAAGCTGTTCCTTCAGACATCCTGCTTCTCTCTTCAGTTCTGGAAACATCAGAGCTTGAAGATTTCATCTTCCTGGTCCCGCAGTGTCTGGGTCCGAGATGTCCGGGTCAGTGGCACAGGACCCAGGACTGCTCGCTGCTGCATCCGAGGGGAGCTGGGGTAGAGACCTGCACCCTCCTCGGGTCCCCTGCGGGTGAAGACAGGGAGAAAGCAACAGATGGAGGCAAGAACCCGAGAATGGACCAAGTGAAAAGGTGTAGTAACGGGCGGGGAGGGGGGCTACCTTCCTTTACTTCATGAGCTGGGTGGACTCTCAATATCTAGAAAACTAGTCCTAACATGTCTTCACAGTCCTCAGTTAGTGAGGACAGAATCCACAGAACCAGTTTTCCCACCACCTCACCCCCCTCCAGTTGCCACTGGTTCCTGGTCTTGGGACCACATGAGGAAAAAGACATCCTCTTGCTTCTTCAGGCACTTTGGTTACTTTATCAGTTTGTGTTCAGTTTAAGGAAAGGGGTCTCTGCAGGGACTTGCAGGGACCTGCTGGAGACTCACCCACTTCCCCCTTTCCTCAGCTTCTGGGCAGCAGCCTTCTTTGACAGGCTGATCTGTGAGTCAAGCTTCTTAAGAAAATCAGAGGCAGAAAGGTCGTGGCTGGGGGTGGAGGCTTCCTGGTGAGGTGGGAGTGCTGCGCCATTGGCCCAGCCTGCACCTGACTCTTGAGTCTTCCTCTTCACTGAACGTGGAGCGACATCATCCTTACTTGGGTGCACCTCTTCCTCCCCATCATTATCCTCCTCGGAATCCAAACCATTGAACAGGTCTCTGGGCTCTGTCAGGATGGGGATGTAGAGCGTTTTCTTCAGGAAGATGGAGTCATTAGTGTAAAGGCGGTTTGTACGCTTAATCTGTTCCATCTTAAAAAAAAATCACCCAAAATTAATGACTGACAGTAAAATCCACCAATCTTATATAGCATCTCGGCTTTTTTCCCTTCTTTCTCACTATGTAGGCCGGCTAAATCTCCAAACCTGCCTGGCTCGTTATCTCAAGCTTTTATTATTGGTGTGTGTGCTGAGGAGACATGCGCAGCTGGAGTGGAGCCTGGAGGCTGCTGGCCTGTTTCTTATGCTTACTTGGTAAGCACTTACAAGAAATTCGTTTTTCAAGTCAGGGCTTCTCTGTACAGGCTGTCCTGGACTCACTTTGTAGACCAGGCTGGCCTCGAACTCGAAGAGATCTGCCTGCCTCTGCCGCCCCGGGTGCTGGGATTACAGGCGTGCCACCGCACCTAGTTAGGCAAGCACTTTTGTTAACCAACTTACCACGTGAGCCTTCTTCAGAGGCCGCGGACTCAAAGCTTTTAAGTAACTGTACAATTTTATTTGGCTCCAAAACAATCCAGCTAAAATAAAAGGCTGATGTTAAGGTTATTTTATAGTGTTTATACTTTCTAGTCTTGGGACACCTTCACATTTGTAACAATTATTGAGGCAAAACAACAACAACAACAACAAAACAAAAACAAAAACAAACAAACAAACAAGCATACAACCCTTTTATTTACTTAAAAGCTACCAAAACAGGAGTTGCCAGTCCTGGGGCTCTGCTGGACAAGGCTGAAGTTGTGTAGTAAATTATTTGTGTTAGATCTATGATGACAGACTCCCTTTTCTCAGTGGGGTTTTAAAAGTCTCCCCTGATCAGAGTGACCCCAAGTTTTGTAAGGAACATTACACAGCCCTCAGGGCAGATTATAGGCCAGACCCTTCGCAGATAAGAAAACTGCTCTAGCAAGCATCTATGAATCCCTAAAATGCCGAACCTGCTAAAAATCTTAGTTTAGCGGTGACTTTCAATTGTACTTGGAGATATACCCCCAATAAGCTAATTAAATACTGTATTTTCCTTCTTGTGATAGGACCACTAAGTACCCCTGACCCCAGCAAATCAGATACATTCATCCTTGAAATCCCTCTGTCTGCCCAGGGTTTATATTGCCCTTGATTTCACATGAATAAAGGTACCTGCTTTCCCGATTCAAGACCTGCTGGGATTCCTCATTTATCCTCCACAAGGCCTGTTCTCACTCTGGCCCAGCAAAGGCTAGGCCTCGAGGGCCTGTGTCTCAGCTGCAAGCCGAGCAAGCATGGGCTTCCGCCCACACCTCTGCCATGCTTCGCACAGCAGCTGGACCAGGAGCTGCAACACTTTGGTGTTGCTACATGCTTTGGAATGCCCACCAGAGATCTCATGCTAATCTAGCCAAACTGTAACACTGTGTGGAAAACCTTTCCCACACCCCAGCTTGGTGCACCTCACCCTTAGTGGGTCTCACCCTAAAGTGATCTAGCTGACAGAACGGAAACTGTTCTCCATCTGGAAACCAAGTTCTAGGACCCTAGCTGAGATCCAGGCCCCCACTGAAAAGAGAACAACACCAGCCCTCTAGAGGTAGAGCCAGAGAGCTTGAATTGAAGGTCATTTTCCATACATGAGTTTGAGGCTAGCTTGGGTTCCTTGAGACCTTGTCTCAAACAAAACAAAACAAGCTACTAGTATTTAAAGTCTTCCAAATGAGAGCTGAGGGGCTGGAGAGATGGCTCAGTGGTTAAGAGCACTTGCTCCTCTTGCAAAGGAGGGTTCAATTCCCAGCACCCACATAGTGGTTCACAGCTATTTCAGCTCCAGTTCCAGTGATCCAATGCCCTCTTCTGACCTCTGTAGGCACCAGGCACCCCCATGGCATGCAGACACACATGTAAGCAAAACACTAAAAATACATTTAATAAATAAATAATGCTGAGCCACGTATGCTAGTACACTTTTTTTAGACAGGGTTTCTCTGTGTAGCCCTGGCTGTCCTGGAATTCACTCTGTAGACCAGGCTGGCCTTGACCTCAGAGATCCACCTGCCTCTGCCTCCCCTACTCTGCTCCCCGGGCTGGGCTGGGATTAAAGGCGCGTGCCACCCAGCTAACAGTTCACATCTTTACTCCCAGCACTCGGAAAGCAGACACAGGCAGAGCTCTGAGTGTGAAGACAACCAGGCTACATATTGAGACGCTGGCTAATAATTAGATAGATACATAGATAGATAGATAGATAGACCGACAAACAGACAGATAAATAGATGGATGGCTCTGGATGGGTCTGGAGCTATAGCTCCATGGGGCAGCACTTGCCTAGCATGTGCAAAGCCCTAGGCTGGATCCCTAGCAGACCTCCAATAATAAATAAATAAAAATCTCATACTTCTCACATTCTTGCCGACTAACACCACCCTTAGCTGCTCTTCCTCTTTCATATCCACATATCTTCCTCTTGATATCTAGAAAAATGTGATTAACCCTCTGGCTGGCTTAGCAACTTCCTAAAAGCTCCTCATTGGCTAAACAATATAATCCAAACGAGGATTCAAGGGCTTTCTTTATTTAGCCCCCACAGGAAGTGTCTAGCCTTCTCTCTTCTGCATTCTGCCACTGAACTACACCTTCACCTCACCAGTTCCCGTGGTCTTGTTTGAGTGTAGCTGGCCTGGAACCCTGCATCCCTTTGCCTTGGCATCCCGAGGGCTGAGATTATAGGTCTGCACCACCAAGCCTGGATTTCAGACTTTTTTTTTTTTTTTTTTGTCTTTTCAAGACAGTTTCTTTGTGTAGCCCTCTCTGTCCTAGAATTCACTAGGTAGACCAGACTGGCCTTGAACTCAGTGATGCTCCTGCCTCTGCCCCGAGAGTGTTGGGATTAAAGGCCTGCACTGTCATGCCGCAAAGCTTTCAGTCATCTTTGTTTGTTTGTTTTCTGTTTTTCCGAGACAGGGTTTCTCTGTGTATCCTTGACTGTCCTGGACTCACTTTGTAGACCAGGCTGGCTGGCCTCAAACTCACAGAGTCTGCCTGATTCTGCTTTCCAGAGTGCTGGGATTACAGGTGTGCGCCACTGTGCCCAGTGGCTTTCAGTCATCTTTTAAACTTCCATGTGACTGACACTATGCCAGAGTTCAGAGACATAAAGTTAAAAGAAAACTGTTTCTGCTTTTAAAGAGTTTGTAGACTGCTGGAAGACAAGGGTATAAACAATTGGGTTAAACAGATTGTAGAAGGAAACACGGAGAGAAAAGTTTCTAAGTCTTCAGTCCCCATGGTGATGGTACTCCCAAAACCTGCACCATAGATGTGGTGGTCACACCGCTAATCTCAGCACTCATGGTGGAAGAAGACTGTAAATGCCAGCTTGGGCTACACAGCAACAACAGACTAGACGATCCACCCTTTCCCCAGAAAATAGCAAGTAATATCCACTCCCACTTCAAGCAAAAATGAATAGTTTCAGAGTTCCCACCCCTTGTCAATATTCTTTACATAACCCATTGTTTCCTCTCCTTTTCTCATGTGAACTTAAATTACATGAGCACAACATACATTTATGCTTTGTCTCCAGAAAAGGGTTACCATAATGCTTTAAGCACAGCACTGATTGTCTAAATTCAACATTTGTTCGCAACTGGTAAAACAGGATGTAGATGGGAAGGCTGTAACTTTAATGCAAGATACCTTTTATGCCCATCAAGGTATGCCCATTAGGTATGACCTGAAATACTTGGTGTATGTAGAGGGTACATAAAGAAAGCAGAGCCCTGGAGCGGAAATAAGAACTAGAGTTAGGAACTCTACTAAAAGTCAGCTCTTCTTTATTTGCTGTAAATGATTTGCTGTAAATGTCACTCGGTTTTGTTTTGTGTTTTGTTTTTTCCATGGCGAATCGCATGGGCATTAGAGTCGGACAGACCTATCTGAAACCTATGACATTCAAGTTATTTGACCTTGATGAAACTGGTTATCAGTCTTAAGTCTCAAGTTAATAGGGACACAAGGTCCAAATAGGTTAATGGCAATAAACCCCGCCCCCACCTCTCACAAGCCACAGGATCTGCTCCTCCTACTGGGAGAGTAGAGCAGATCTGTCCCAAGTAGATAGTGCTACACTGAGCTGCGAAAACAAAATAAGAAAGAAACAGATCATAATATAATTAGGATAATTTCAGAGGAGGCTGTTTAGCGGGCCACCCACTTTCTCCTGGGGGCTACATTTCTCCTAAACGGTTCTCACAGCCCAATCCTAGAAGACTCACCGTCACCCCATATTTGAGTGCTAGTCCAGCCAGGGTGTCTCCAGGTTCCAATTGATGCTCCAGGCGTCTTTCCCTCACTGGGGAGGAGGATGACTGTACCAGGCTTCCATAAGAACGAGCACGGCTCCCATGCAGCAGCCCTGACCCCCCGAGTGGAGGCTGTCTAGAGGGAGAAGCCATCTCCTCGGGCTGCCAAGATCTAGCGTCACAACTGAGGATAGCCCAGCTAATTGGCCAACAGTGACGGCCGAAGGCAAGGAATCGATATTCAGGGAATTACTTTTCTCTTCTCCGGTCTCTCTTCAGTCTCCTCGCTCTCGAGAGACTACATTCGTCCTCCTCCTCTTGCTGCTTCTTCCCGAGCTTGGGGTTACGGTCCGTACCCTAAGAAGTCTGCCAGGCCAGTTGCATTTCTCCCTCCTCAAGCCCCTTATCCATAAGTATCTTGCCTGAGCTGTCACTCGCTGACCCCTTCGACTTTCGATGCCCCCTCCCCAACTTCTCGCAAGCCTGATCTCTGACCTCTGAACCCCAGACACCCTCATCAACACTCTTCCTTCAGTGTGCCCCCACCTAGAGCAGCCGGAAGCCCCCACATTCTCTCTGTTCCAAATCAGGCCCACCCCAGGTAGGCTGTGGCTGAGACGGAGGAGCCAGAGGACTGTGAGAGTTTGTAGTATACTATCCACTGAGAATCCCGAAGCCTAGCCCCACATCAGGAGGGTCCCATCCTGAAGCTCCAGCTCCACGTACAAGCTCTTGGGTCTCCAAACACCTGGATACTTCGAGATGCGCGGGCCTGTGTCCAGGTGAGCGGGTAGCTCTTTGAAAAAATAAAATAAATAAAATACACAAACAAAAGACTTCATTTCCCAAAAGGCACAGCGTCCTCGAAGCGTCATAGGAAATGCAGGCGCTGGAGGTGGGTTTTCCGGCTCACGCGGTGCATGCATGGAAACTCTTCCCCGGAAGTACAGACTCAACTAGCAAGAAACCGGAAGTAGGGAAAGCGATCGCGTACTTCTCCTACGGTGGCCTAAAGGAGCAGTGAAGTGGGCGTAGGAGAGTTTATCATTTCTGGGTCTCGTAGTCGCGATGTCTTTCAAGAGGGAAGGAGACGACTGGAGTCAGCTCAATGTGCTCAAAGTAAGCCTTAGTAAGAGTCTGACCAGCGTCAGCCGCCCTGCCCTGTTGCTTTGTTTTTTTTTTTTTTTTGCTCTGAAAGAAAGGGGATTGAAAGAAAGAAAAACCTAGGGGATTGATTTAGGGGGCCAGAACTGAGTGATGTCCCCTTCTTCTGCCCTATAATCTGCTTAGCCCCATGCCATTTGACTCCTTATCCATATTTTCCTTCCACCCGTCCCACTTACTCATTTCTCCTATTCTGCAGAAACGAAGAGTTGGTGACTTGCTGGCTAGTTACATCCCAGAGGATGAAGCGCTGATGCTGCGTGATGGACGGTGAGAGCGAAGAATGGATCAAGCCTGGGGATTCTGCGGTCAGAGGCTCAACAAACTTTTGTTACTAAGAAGATCAAGAGTATAATAGGATTCTTTGGCGGGAAGTGAAGATTGGAAGAGGTGGAGATCGGGAGACATTGGGAGTTGGTGGGGTGCTATGAGAGATCCTACTGGCCATGGCAGGAGCACTCCTGATTGCAATCTCGAGAACCACACGTATAGGTTTATCATTAGTCACCTTTTTTGTTTCTTTTGACTTCTGTTTTTTCGAGACAGGGTTTCTCTGTGTAGCTCTGGCTGTCCTGGAACTCAATTTGTAGACCAGGCTGGTCTCGAACTCACAGAGATCCACCTGCCTCTGCCTCCTGAGTGCTGGGAATAGGCACGCATCATTATACCCAGCTATCGTTCACTTCTTTTCTCATTCCCCTAGCTTTGCCTGTGCCATCTGCCCCCATCGACCAGTACTAGACACCCTTGCCATGCTGACTACCCACCGTGCGGGCAAGAAACATCTGTCCAGTAAGTATAGGAGAAGGTGGGAAGGCAGGAGATAGAGAACAGACTCGAGGCAAACCACTGGTCATTGTGCTTTTTATTCCCTTTGCTTTTCTTCTCAGGTTTGAAGCTTTTCTATGGCAAAAAGCAGTCAGGCAAAGGAACAGAACAAAATCCAAGACCACAGAATGAATTGAAGACAGAGAGCAAAGTTGAGGTGAGATAGTAGGCCAGATGTTGTTCAGGCACGGTTATACTGCACACAAGAGACAAAGGGCTTGTTCCTGACAGCTCTGTCTCTTCTCTCCATAACCAGGCTCCTTTGCTAACCCAGACTCGACTAATCACCCAGAGTGCTCTGCACAGAGCTCCACACTATAACAGTTGCTGCAGGAGAAAGCACAGGTCTGTGGAATGGGGAAGCCAGAAGTGGAAAAGGGTAGAAGGAAATTTATATTCTGAGAAATACTAATAGAGATGTTTTTTAAAAAAAAAAATAATGGGGCCTGAAGGTGGTGGCGGGAGCCTTTAATCCCAGCACTTGCCAGGCAGAGGCAGGCAGATCTGTGTGAGTTCGAGGCCAGCCTGGTCTACAAAGCAAGTCCAGGACAGCCAGGGTTACACAGAGAAACCCTGTCTCAGAAAAACAAACAGAAAAAAAGGCAGGGGGGAGAATAGTAACATTAGCTGAGCATGGTGGTACTCTTTTTTGTTTGTTATTGAGACAGGGTCTCTTTCTGTAGCCCTGGCTGTGTTGGAACCCTGCTATTTAAACCAAGGTGGCCTCAAAGTCACAGAGAGCTGCCAGCCTCTGTCCCTCAAGTGCAAAGAAAGAAAAACTACAAGAAAAAAAAACTTGAGGAACTCAGTTTGGGAAGTACTACGTTTGCGACTTTGGAGGCCCCAGAGCCGCATTTTACCAGCTTTGTTTTTTTTCTGCCCAGACCAGAAGCACCTGCTGTCTCTGTCTCCAGTTCTCCTTCGCCAGCCCCAGAGGCTGGACTCCAGAGTTCAGACATCAGCAGGGAAACCGAGCCTAGGACAGGATCGAACGCCAAAGAGTCAGCAGCTGTCCTGCCTTCTGCACCCATGAGCCCCGCAAAACGCCGAGTCCTGAACCATTACCTCACCCTCCGAAGGTGAGTCCGCCAGGTCACGGTCCTCAGGTCTCTCTCTTTTTTCCCTTGACCTTCCTTCTCTCCAACCAATCCAACTGCTTTTTTCTCATCACCAGTGCTTTTTAAAGTTATGTTTGTCTGTTTGTTTATATGGGGGCAGGCTTATGTAAGCCTCAGGGTGACATACAGGGCTTGGTTCTTTCTGTACCCTGTGGGCTCCCAGGATGGAACTCAGCACCCTCTCTATAAAGCTCTTCCCTGACCAGTTCTCTTTCCTCCCATGTTTCCAGCTCTGGATGGGTCCCAGATGGACAAGGTCGATGGATAAAAGATGAAAATGCTGAGTTTGACTCTGATGAGGAAGAACCCCCTGATCTCCCCTTGGATGAATAATTCCTTTCCCTATTTGTTCTATAAATAAACCTACAGTAGGGTCCTGGGAGCACACTGATCCTCAATTCAGGTTCCTTGTTCAATTTCAGGATTTCAAATCTGCTCATTCTCGGGCTGGCCACTCCTTCCCTACCATGTACATGGCTCCACGTACTTCTGACCCCTCCTCCACTCTCCCAAAGTCTTGCCAAGCGTCAGCTGCATTCAGCCCAGTGCCCTATTAATAAGTCTGTCAGAAAGAGGTCGCTGCCCTTCATGAAGTCTGACTCCTTCCCTGCCTCCACTCTTACGTCCTGTTCCCTTCAGACCACACATCGACTGTTGATGGGCACTAAGGGTCTCTGGCCACCTCTGCCAGGAGGACTGAGGCCAAGCACCCTGTAGGAAGCTAAAGCCTTTGGCAGATTTGTGGGGAACACAACGGACAGAGCTCCCCCCCCAGTAACCTGACCCTCCTGCCTTCTGATCCCCAGAGTATAAATAATCCCTGATGAACTGGCAGTAACTCTCAGAGGTTAGTGCCAAGATCCCAACCCAAGGAAGGAGACAGGCGGCATGAACAAAAGGGATTTTATTTACAGGAATGGGGAGAGAGATGAGGATTTAGGTGCCTAGAGCTCTCCTCTCTGGTTGGTAAAAGAAAGGGTGATGTTATCTCTTCTTTTGTTGACGACCTGTAAAGGAAGAGCAGTAAACACAGTTCCACTTCTGTGCAAAGGCATGTTTCTCTTTTTTCTTCAGGCAGACTTATAAGGTGCTGCCTCATGCCACCTGATGGGCCTGTTCATGCTGACAGAATCAAGAATACACACCTGAAAGTGAAAGGGCCACGCCTCTCCAGGCACTATCACGTCAACCTTCTTCCCCACTTCTCTACAGATGTGTATTTGGGGGCAGGGGAGGACTTTCTGTCTCTGCTCATTCAGCTCCACGTGTTGGCCAGGCATCCCACATCTCTCACTAAGCCTGCCTTCAGGGTCTACCCCATTCCAGCACTTGCCCTCCTCTGCACATGGCTCTACAGTAACTCACGCAGCTCATTGTTCCGCGTCATGGCCTGGGCTGCCCGAGCTCGTGGCCCTTGTTGTGTAAAGTGGTACCCAAAGCGGACAATCGAGGGACACTGCTCTAGCACGGTGGCCATTTCCATCTCTACTGCATCACCAGGCCACTGGCGCTGGAGGACGAAAGGTGGAAGTTATCAGATGTGTATGGTTTTCACCACCCCAGCCCATGGGCCTCTGGGAAGTGAAGAGGCTTGAAGAAGGCCGATTTGGCGCCCTTCATTGGGACAATAAGGAGGAAACTCAATGGGATGAAGCCCAGGGGATAGGAATGCCAACCTGGTTATCTACACGGAGTTCAGTGAGAGTGGCGTTTTCCCGAACTGCCTTTAGCACAGCCAGGAGCCCTGTGCTGCTGATGAAGTTGGACTCAATGTTCAGGCTCTGGAGACTGCGGTTCTCACGCAGCATGCCAGCCACAGCCTGGGTAGTAGGGACTGGAGTTAGGGTTAGGGGACAGTTTCATGGGTGACTGAGGAGAGTCAGAATGGGAGCAGGAGAGAAACAGCTCTTTGAGACTGTTTGACATGTGAAGCAGGAGGAGCCAGGATTGGGGAGTTGGTAAGAGCATAAAGATTAAGTTACTGTTGGGATTGAGGGTGTTAGAGAAGCTTTCTTTGGGGGGAAATGGCATCAGAAGAGTAAGGGTAGGGATTTTGAAGGCTGCCGTAAGAAAGCATGATGGGGTGGGGGTGCTGGAGAGATGGCTCAGAGGTTAAGAGCACTGCTTGCGCTTTCAGAGGTCTTGAGTTCAAATCCCAGCAACCACATGGTAGCTTATAACCATCTATAATGAAATGTGGTGCCTCTCCTGGCATTCAGGTGTATGTGCAGACAGAACATTGTATACATAATAAAAATAAATAAACGTTTTAAAAACATGCTGGGGTCTTGGCCACCATCGGAGAGCAGCAGCCATGGCCCAGTGCTACCTCATGGCATGGGCCTCAACAAGGGCCACAAGATGACAAAGATTGTCAGCAAGCCGGAGGCAGAGGCGCGCTGGCGCCTCACCAGGCGCACCAAGTTTGTGTTGGACATGGTCAGGGACGGGTGCGGCTTCGCATCCTACGAGCCGGGTGCTGTGGAGCTGCTCGAGGTGTCTAAAGACACACGCATGCTCAAGTTCATCAAGAAGGGGGTGGGCACACACATCCGAGCCAAGAGGAAGGAGCTGAGCAACGTGGGCCGCAGCTATAAGGAAGGCGACGGCCAAGGAGGACTGATGTTCCTCTCCCCCCAATAAACCCACACAAAAAAACCCACCACCACCAACAAACAAAAAAACATGATGGGACTAGCACCGCTCATATGTGTGATCCTTAAAGACAGGCCTTGTCAGGGGTGCCTGACACGGTATGGGAAGAGGACTGGGCATGTGTGCTAGTCTTACATTGGCGATGGGGTCACCACTCTTTGTAGCCACCAGACTGAAGCTCCGAACATAGGTGTTTGTCTTCATTGCTTCACACAACTCACTTAGCACAGGTATCGGGATGTCCTGAGGGGGGACAGGGCAGAGTAGACTGAGGACTCTTGTGCTGCATCAGCAGCTGTTCCTGTTACTCTCTGGGGTCAGGAGTCAAATACCTGTATATTATTGAGGTTCACCTCCTCCAGCTCTTTGTCATTGCTACGCACCCTCTTTAGTATCTCCTCGATGTTTGTGGGATTGGGGGGTTCATCCGGAACTGGCTTATACTTGTCAGGCTGTACCACACCTAATGGGGATAAGAGCAGCAGAGGGGAACCCCAACGTATCCCCCATCATACCTCCCCACTGGCCCTCTGAACCTTCATGCACCCTGTCTCACACTTGCAGCCTCTTCTTAGCCACCGGCCTGCCTGGGCCGGGCTCTAGCGGGTTGGAGGAGCTCATGCCTCTCCAGCACACTCACTGCTAATGCCTTCTGTGTTGCAGATCTCTCCACTGCAAATGGCATCGTAGTATTGCTTGTTGCTCATCAGTGTGTACATGCCCAGGATGGCTGGTGAGGGTAAACAGAGGCACATAGCAGTTAAGGTGTCCCCCGGCCACCCCTGCCTCCTGCCTCCCTCTGCCGAGGCAGTTTTAGAGACTTGCAGTTTCTCACCCTCCCTGAGCTACAGGAGTCTCTTCTGCAGACCTGCTGGGGCAGGGATTTCTAAAACTCAGAAGGAAGGCCCCTGAGGAGCCATCAGAGGACCAGCTGCAGAGAAGAGCCTCTGCCAGTTTCAGCAAGCACAGCTCCACTCTCATCTGCCCTCACAATCCCTGTGAAGTTGCTGCTCTTGAGATGTTAATTAAATTAAAAAAAATAAAAGAACCAATGTAGAAGCAATAAAAGTAAAAAACAGGGACTGGAGAGATGGCTCAGTGGTTAAGAGTAGTACCTGTTCTTCCAAAGGACCTGGGTTCAATTCCCAGCACCCACATGGCAGCTCACAACTGTCTTTAATGCCAATTCTAACAGATCTGACACCTTCACACTAATGTACATAAAATTAAATAAACTATTTTTTTAAAAAAAGTAAAAAACGTCTGTCTGAGATGGTGGGTGGTGGTGCATGCCTTTAATCCCAGCACTCCGGAGGCAGAGGCAGGCCAGCCTAGTCTACAGTGAACTCCAGAACAGCCTCAGGGGAGAGAGAGAGAGAGAGAGAGAGAGAGAGAGAGAGAGAGAGAAGCGAGCTGTCTGAGGCTTTCTCAAGCATCCATGTCCTGGCGGCTCAGGCCTTTCCTTCTAGTCCTATGTCAAGATAAGGCTGCCACATTCCCCACCCTCCCTCCTTCCTCAGCTCCCTGCAGCTGCCCACCTGCAATGTCACACATTTCGGCATCTGTAGCATGGGACAGTGCCTCCTCCAGTTCAGGCTCCAGTGTAATCTGTTCCTGTGCTGGGATTTCTCTCTTGGGCTGAATATAAGGTTTTCCTGATAGAGAGATGACAGTTCAAGCAGAGGTACTTTCTTCCAAGATGGCGCCTCCACCTTCCTTTCCTTCTTGGTGTGGGTCAGACTAGATCACCAGGGTACATCAGAAAGCCTGAATTCTCCACAGGCACAGGACATTTTGGTCCTCTCATTTCTCACAGGAATTGAAGAGTACAGGCTGGTGTGGTGGCACAGGTCTGTAATCTCAGCATTTGGCAAGCTAAGATAGTAGGATGGCTAGCTCAGGGTCAAAGTGGGCTACACAGAGACCCTATCTCAAAAATCAAAAAATTGAAGAGAATAAATTAGCATGCAGCTTTCCTGGGACCTGAGTCCCTGACAGCTGCCAGCAGTAGGGAGGGAAGCTAATAGGGAGGCGCAAGAGACAGCCACTTGGTTTCTGGGGCCATAGATGCTAGGATGCCCATACCCTTCTTCTCGCCAGTGAAGGGCACAAGGTCGTCACGCTCTTTGACTTCTAGGGCCTGTTGCTCCAGGTACTGCAATAGGGCATCTCTGTCTAGCGGCCCTGTTGGACTCTTCTTTGTCTGGTCACGTTGTCTTAGTCCAGCTGGCAGGAGCATGTTCTTAGGGATGAGTTTTGGGGAACAAATCAGCTACTCTCCAGACATCTTTTCCCTGGCCCTTTTGGGATTTCAGGCCCTGTTGGTGGCCTTGTTCTCCGGCACCCAGCATCCCCTACTTCCTACATATGCAGGGATGCCCTGACCCCTGCATGGTGCCCCTACCTCAGGGTCCATTTCTTGGAGCTCGCAGTCCAGCTGTTCTAGCTCCTCGGGGCTCAAGGTTCTTAGGATCTCATCTTCATCGATGTCTCTGTATTTCTCCAGTTCCTTCTGATACGATGACATGGCGGCCCCTACCCCCTCCCCACAGTGTGACACTCACAGCCTGGGGGATATGGGAAAAGCTGTTGGACATAGACACTGAGGACATAAAAAAGTCCAGCCATAGTTAGAACACTGAACTGTATACCTTGGAGGCTAGAGTCTACCTGGGATGGGGAAATCAGATTGGTCATGGTTGAAATAACTTTCCCTCCTGGTCCCAGCACTTTCCAGCCATTCTAGATGGGGATTCTAGGCTCCAGGCTGGGTCTGTCCACCCACTGTGTGATAGAGAAATCCTGGCAGCACCCTCCCCGGACAACCTTACCCGCAGAGTCTCTTGCTCTAACACAGCTGCTGGAGGCCCTGCCAGCATAGCTGGCTCCATGCCCAGTTCCTACTGCAAAGTGGGAGGGGGTAACAGCTTCAGGGAAAGTCATCCTCTCTTCCCCATTACCCAGGCCTTTTTTGAAACTGGTTAAGCAAGGAAGATTGGCTGGGTTACAGTGGTGGCCTCTTATGCCACCCTCATTTCCTCCTTTACTGTAGAGGACTGAGATCTCACTTTCTGTGTTTGCTAACATTCTGAATCATAAGGGAAAGTAAGGCTTAGAAACTGAGGCGCTTCCAGATTGGGGGAAGGGCAGCATGGCCTCAGAAGGCGTCTAGTTCCCATAATCTGTCACCGGAAAGGTGACACTACAACACTGGGGAAAATGTCTTTTAAATGGGGTAGTGGGATGATTAAATTTACACAATCTTTTAGTGTGAAAAATGCACTCGACCCCTAAATATACATCATGCTTAATATGGAAGATGATCCTGAATGTGAGACACTGACAACATAAGCCATACAGCGTCAAGACAAAACGTACACGGAATGACAGAGGCACGGACACAGCTCACTTTCCCCAGGCCGCTCTTCCCATCTCCCACCAGGTTCTCACCCCAAAGACCCCTCTCTTCCCACCTACCAGTCCTAGTGAGCACCTCTCACCTCCCCTTGTCAGATGGTCCGTCTGTTCTACTAGGACACTGTCTGGTCAGCAGGAGGAGTCTGGTGCCGGGGCAGAGAGTGGGGGAACAGTGAGCTCAGCATTTTATTATTTTAGCTCCGGCCAGGTGGGGAGTGGTGGGAGATCACATATACACCGACCCCATACCTTGCCCAGCCCTGAGAGCCTCTAGTGGCCAGTACTAGCCATGACACCTCCTCTCAAGAGTCACTGGAGGACTCTTGCTGCAAGCAGAGTCCTCCAATGGACAATTAGAGGGCTCCCCTGTAGGTTCCTGGTTCTCTTCAAAGCACTGATTGGAACGTACCAGTTCCAACGTGGTACCTCACATCTGTATTCCCTCAATAGGTGGGGCTGAGGTAGGATTGCTACAAGTTGGAGAACTCAAAGCCAACACAGAGCACATAGCAAAACATTTTTAAAAAGAGGTAGGGCAGCTGGGTGGTGGTGGTGCATGGATCTCTATGAGTTCAAGGTCAGCCTGGTCTACAGTGAGTCCAGGATAGTCAAGGCTACAGAGAAACCCTGTCTTGGGGGGGTGGGGGAAAGGTGGGATAGGGTAGGTGAGGAGCTAGAGATCTCCGTTGGTTAAGAGTATTTGCTGTGCAATTGTGAGTTAAAATTCCAGCATCTATATAACAAGCTAATCCTCTGACACATGCCTGTAACCCCAGCTCCAGTGGGTAGCACTGGGGCTTTGCTGGCTTCTGACAGCTTAGAAAACATGAGCCCAGATTCAGAAAGAGAACCTGCCTCAAAGGAATAGGTGGAAGCCTGGCCTTGGAATATGCACACCACCCCAACACATGCCTGCAGACTCTGTGTAGGGATTTTATTCTGGTATTTAACTTTAGTTCAAAGACTAGAGTTAAACATGGACAACCTAGGGAAATGTAACAAAAATATGTAATAGACTTAATAAAGGCATCTTTATGAAGCCCATTACTTTGTGAATGTAAGCTATTAAAAAACACTCAATGTAGTAACAGTAATTTGTACCTCTAGGCCCTACACTTGGAAGAATGAGGTGGAGGGTTTGCTTGAGTCTGAAGTTTGGGACAGTTAATAGACTGCACAATTTAGCAAGAACTTGTGTTTTAAAAGTAATTTTTTTAAAAAAGAAGGCTGGCTCAGGGGTTAAGAGCACTGGCTGCTCTTCTAGAGGACCCAGGTTCAATTCCCAGAGCCCACATGGTAGCTCACAATTGCAACTTCATTCCGGTGGATTCAATGCTATCTTCTGGCCTCTATGTTCGTTATGTATGCATATGGTGTTCACATACATTCAAGCAAAACACCCACACACGTAAGAGAAGAAAAGGACAGCTCATTCCAAGCCCTATCACACAATGACAAGGCCTAGGGACACAGTGCGGCAGCCATGGCTGAGTCCAGCACTTGGAAGCAGATGTAGAGCGAGCTTGTCTGAGGCCGGTCTGGGCTACATAAAGAGAGAGGAAAAAAGAAAAGAGAAGGCGGGAAAGAGGGAGAAAACAAACAAGGCTGAGGGATTATCTTAGTGGTGGATCACTTGCCCATGTGTTCAATCTTAGCACAAACAAAACCCAAACAAGCCAAATATACAAATACACTCACACATTCATAAATATATTTTGCCTCCAACCCTACACATCAGACAAAAAAGATTTTACCATTTTATTAGATTAAAAAAAACAACAAAACAAAACAGAATGAACTAGGGGAAGAAATTATAACAAAAGAAAAACCCGGCAAAAATCATCAAGGACAAAGAGACATAGAAAGGGAGGAGGTGAAGTAGAAGGCCCAGGTACCTCTATTTGATGACAATTTTCTGGCGCAAGGCTCGAGGACCAGAGCCAGGGAGTGGCTCAGGGGGTGGGGGAGCAGGGCCGAGGGCGGAGGCAGTAGGTGGCAGTCCATGGGCAGTGATGTACTTCTTGTAGGCCTCACGAATGATCTTGAAGGCTCGAGCTGTGGCGTAGGGTATGTCTGTAACAGGGTCCCGGTACAGAGCTGGCCGATGGGTCACTGGACAGACCTCCCGAACAGGGACCTTTGGGGGTCGCCCCTGGGGAAACCACTCTTCAAATGTTGCATCATCACTAAATGTGATGAAGGTACGTGAGCAGCGAGCAAGAGGGACAGCAGGTCCAGGCCCAGCATGTGCAGTCACTGCAGAAGCTGCAGGAGCAGGGTCAAGTCTGAGGGCAAAGAGAAAAATCACAAAATGCTGAGGAGAAGGCAAGAGACACAGAAAAGAAGAAGTTAGGCTGGGTGTGGTGGTCTGTTGCAGGATATTTGATCCCACTGGGAACCCTGAGATTGTGAACTGTAAAAAACTCTCTTTTGCTTGGTGTAGCTCAGCCCTAGCATACACCTTTAATCCAAGAGCTTTCTGTACACAGGATTTAATAAAGTTAATCCTAGGTCAAGAGGTGGAGCAAGAAACCAGCTGACAAGGATTAAGCGTAAGGAGGGACTGTGAGAGAGGGGTATTTAAGACTGTGGAAAAGGAGGAGGAGCTCTTCAGCGCTTTGGCTTCAGTTCTCTAACTACTGAGCTCTTTAGCTCCTTTGGCTTTTTGGGGCTTTAGCTCTTTGGCCTTGCGCTTTTGGCTTTCTCCCCCTGGGCTGAGCTAGCAGGCCTTTTCCTCCTGGGTCATCAACTGAGCGAGCAAGTTTTTAGCTTTGGGCTTTTGGCATTTTCCTTCTGGGATGTGAACTGGGTAGGGTGCTTTCTGAGCTAGCAGGTTTTCACCCCAGCATCCTGAGTCTTCGTTGGTAAACTACAACGGTGGGATTTTCATTGTTTATAACAACAGTGGCCCATGTATAACCTCAGGATTTAAGAGGCTAAGGCCACTGGAGAGACAGAGTAAACACCTGTTTCAACAACAAAAATGCTGGAAAGATGCTCAACAATTCAGAGCACTGGCTATTCTCCCAGAAGGTATGGGCTTGAGTCCACTCAAACAGCAGCTCACAACCATGTGTAACTCCAGTTCCAAGGAATCTGTCACCCCCTTCTGGCCTCAATGAACACCAGGCTAGAGATACGTGCAGGCAAAACACTGATACACATTAAATAATAATAATAATAATAATAATAATAATAATAATAATAATAATAATAATAATAATAATAATAA